AATATCTGATTGACTGCCAAAAGTAAATATATATGTCTTGGAAAATCTGCAAACAAAGTACTCTTTGCAGGCAAGGATGGTGAAGCTTCATCTCACATACACTGGGTGTGTTAAGAGACTCTATTTCTTGGAAAGGGAAATCATGCCTTTCCTAGCATGAAGATAAGAAAAGAAAGGAGGACAGTTGGATTGACATGATGACTGCAGCACTGGGCTCAAGCGTGTCAGAGATGATGAGAATGATTCAGGGTAGGACAGGGTTCACATCTGTCGTTCATACAGTTGCTATGAATTATATTCAACTCAATGGACAGTAATAACAACAACAACGACAATAAAGTCAGTACCCTGGGGGAGATTCAGAGACTTCTGCACCCATTGTCTACTTTCTTCTGAGGAGAATCTCTGGTACTATTTTGGTAATGGGGCAAGGATAATGACCTTATCTCAAAGTAATAACCAACTGTATGAGTTCTACGCTGCACTGAGCTAAATGGGATGGTGGGTGGTGGGAAGTAGAACATAGTAACTAGTATCTCTCATACTTTTACTTACATTTAATTCATTGTTGTGAATTAATATTTTTCATTTGCTTATATTCTTTCTGAGACATAAATTATTCCTAAAAATATTTTTAAAATGCTATGTGTTTTACTGGTAAAGGTTTTGCAAATTTCCTCATACCATTATTCTAGTCATAGATTGCTGTATTTTTGCATAATTTTAATTCTTCAGTATCATATGGCATTCCCAAAAGTATCATTATTTTTTAAATGCTTACATTTTGGATATATAGATATTGTTAAGATGCTTTGTTAAGATATCTTGATGCCAAAGTATGTGTCACTGAAATGTCACAAAATATAAAATATATAATCTGAAATAAATTAAAAATCTATTTTCATAGTGACTGTACTACTTGCTAGAATTATTTGGTTCTCTTAAGTTTCAGCTTGACAGTGAGTGACTTGCATATGTAAATAACTATATTTTATTCGAGACACTAAATGCTATGAAGAGGACTGTGGCATCAGGATCAGAGGTAGACTCATCAATAACCTTCATTATGCAGATGACAAAATTTTGTTTGCTGAGAATTGAAACACTTGTTGCAGAGTATCAAAGAATACAGATTTCAATATAGATTTCATCTCAGTATCAAGAAAACAAAGATTCTTACCACTGGACTGACAGGCAACATCAAAATAGATGGAGAAAAGATTGAAACTATCAACAACTTTCTCTTACTCTGATCCATAATTAACACCCTTGTCACCAGGAGTCAGGAAATCAGAAGGCATATTGTACTGGGAAGTCTGCAGTTAAGGACCTCTCCAAATTATTGAGAAACAATGATGTCAGTTTGAAGACTAAAGTGCATTTGATTCTAGCCATGGTCTTTCCGATCACTTGCTATGCATCTGAGAGCTGGATAATGAATAGGGATGACAGAAGAATTGACACCTTTGAGCTGAGGTGTTGGAGAAGAACACCGAACATCCCATGGACTGCCAAAAGAACAAACAAATATGTCTTGAAAAGGGTGTAGCCAGAGTGCTCTTTGGAGGCAAAGATGAGGAGGCTTTGCCTCACATACCTTGGGCATGTTGCTAAAAGGGACTATTCTTTGGAGAGGAACATGATGCTTGGAAAAGTGGAGGGTCAGCAAAGGAGAAGAAGATATCCTTGACCAGGTGGATTGACATGGTGACTGCCTCAGTGGGCTCTAAGGTGTCAGGAAGCGTAAGGATGGAACAGGATAGAGCAGAGTTCAGATCTGATATGCTGTTCATAGGGTTGCTTTGGGTTGTACTCAACTCAATGACACCTGGCAACAACCATAACAATATATATTATGGGAGTTAAAACATTATAGCAAAACATAAAAACAAAAACCAAGTAGTTTTGCAATTAACAAACAACTTTCATTTGGTAGTCCTGGGGTGAAAAAACCCCACAAAAAAACCACCCTCACAAATAACAGCAAAAACCAACTGAAACAACAACAACAAAAATTATTGTTGTTTAGTTGATTCAATCTTTGGAAAAAATTAGGGCAAAATTAAAACTTCCACATAAAATTTCTAAGTTCTAAGGTTCCAATCTCCCTAAGACTGCCACATCTTTCTTTCACGGAAATGCTAGTCTTTCAAACTGCCCACTTTGAGTCAAGCACTTACCAAGACTCCTACAATATTACTCAGCAAATGTATCTGAATATTTATCCAAGAGATTTTTATATTTATATCTACATAAAACATGTATATGAATGTTGTTATAAGCTTATTTAAGATAGCCAAAACTTGGAAACAATAAAGATGTCCCACCATAAATGAAAGGTTAAAGAGACTATGGTACATTTTTACCATGAACTATCACTCAGAAATAAAAAGGCATAAACTGCAGAAACTTACAAGAACATCAATTAATCTGTAATGAATTTTATTGAATGATAAAGATTATGTAAGGACACAGTATTACTTGGTTTTTTAAGAGTTCCTTTTTGAAATAACACTATTGCAGAAATAGTGAACAGATTAATAGTTTCTTTTTAGTTGACACTCTTAACAAAAATGGTGTTCTCCAGGGAATGGTTCTTCATGATAACATATTTGAAGCATGTAAGGCAAAGTCTTGCTATCTTTATTTCTGAAGTTGTAAAATAATTTTCCTTACATCTTTTAAGAAGACCTTTTAACACCTCCATTTCATATTTTAGTCTTGAAATTTCTAGAATGTTCCAAATTTTAGGCTTTCACATTTTACAATTCACCTTCTAATTTAAGATACAATAATTTGTATTATGTTGCTGTTATATGCCTTCAAGTCAACTATGACTCATAGTGACCCTATAAACACCAGCTCTGAACCCTGAGCTATCTTGTGCCATCCTCACAATCTCCTACACACTTAAGCACTTATTGTCACTTTGTCAATCTATCTCATTGAAGATCTTCCCCATCTTGTCTGTCCCTCACTATTTAAATATGATGTCCTCTTCCAAGGGCTTACCCCTCTTAACCATGTGAGATATAATTTATCCATCCTTGTCTTCAAAGAGCCCATTAGTTTCACTTTCTTCAGAAATCAATTGTTTGTTCTCTTGATAGTCCATATGACATTGAATACTCTTCTCCAGCATCACAACTCAAAGCCACTGATTCTTCTTCTGTCATCTTTATTCATTGCTCAACTTTTAGATGCATAGCAAGCAATTAAGAAGACCATGATTACATCAGGTTAGTCTTTAAACTAAGGTCATTGCAGGGTTTCCCAATATAGTATATCTTTTGATTTATCAGCTGCTGGGATCAAGGATGTTGATTGTGGATCCAAGTAAGGTGAAGTAATTGACAACTTTTTTCCATCTATCATGATTTTGCCTATATGCCTGGTAGTGAGGATTTTTATTTTCTTGATGTGTGATGTAATCCATATTGATGGCTATATCCCTTGATCATTTGCAGCAAGCACTTCTGCAACAACTCCTCCTCACTTTCAGTGAGCAAGGTTTTGTCACCTACATGTTGTTGCTGTGTTAGTCATAGTGACTCTATGAAGCCTGCCTATCCTACACCAGTCTCACTCATAGTACAGGTTATTGATAAGTTTTCCTCCATTTTTTTTATGCCAGTTTCTTCTTTGAGTCCAGCTTCTCAAATTATTTTCTCAGCATACAGACTGGATAGGTATGGAGAAAGGACACAGCCCTTATACATAGCTTTATTGATTTTAAACCATGTAGTGTTCCCTTTTCCTGTTCAGATGGCTGCTTCTTGGTCTAGTTGTAGGTTTCACAAGTTCACAATCAAGGGTTATGGTGTTCTCATTCTTCTCAAAGTTAGCTGTAGTTTGTTGAGATCTGCACAGTCAAATGCCTTTGCACTGTCAATAAAACACAAACTGACATCTTTCTTGGTATTCTTTGCTTTCAGCTTGGATTCATCTGCTATAAGCAATGGTATTCCCTGTGCTTTGGCCTCTTCTAAGTTCAAGTCAAACTTCTAGCAGTTCTCTGTTAATGTACTACTCTAGTAATTTCTAAAAAGTAGTCAGCAAAAAATTTGCATGATAGTAATGATATTGTTCATTAATATTCAGTAAGTTTAATAAGATTCAGTAATACTTTGTATGTGATTTTAATGGTATTATTTGATAATTTCTGTCAGTTGGACCCCCTTTTTTGAATATGAGAATAAATATGGATTTCTTTCAGTCAGATGGCCAGATAGCTGTCCCCTAAATTTCTTCACACAATCTGATTAGCACATAGAATGCTCTGTTTGCTGGAATATGCTCATTGATACTAAACCAATTCATGGACACTAATTTTTTTGCCAATTCCTTCAGTGCAACTTGAATTTCCTTTAACACCATTGGTTTTTGAATCATATGCTACTTACTGAAATGGGTCTGTTACAGTCACTTCTCTTTGGTACAGTGACTTTGTATATTCCTTCCATCTTCTTTTAATGGTTTCTGGATCATTCAAGATTTTGCCCATAGTATCCTTCCATATTGCAACTCGAGTCTTAAATTTGTTTTTCAGTTCTCTCAGTCTGAGACATAAAGAGCAAGTTCTTCCATTTTGATTAGTCCTTTTAAATTTTTAATTATTTATTTTAAATTACTTATTAAAAATTATTATTTGCTGTTTAGAAAATGTATATCCTATTTAATGTTTTAATCAATGATTTAGAAAAATATAAGCATAGTACCTGATGTTGAAAGAGAAAAATCTTCGGAATTTAGAACACAATGATTTTATTTTTTTTTAAATTTTGAGCTCACTGATTCTGTATACTTTTGTTTCATTTGCACTTTTGTTAAGATGTCTAAATGTAAAGTTATTACTTTGCTATTTGAGATTGCATTATATTCTCTTACTGCACACTGTTAGCATAAAATGGATTTTTTTTTCTGAGAAGAGGAATGTAAGATGTAACATTTTAGGGATTAATAACCTTCTAGTAAAAATGTGATTATATGCATAAGTTTTTTCAGTTCTTTAAGAACAAGGAAAATCTTTTGATTGAGTCATTAAAAGCATCTTTTACTTGTTTGTTCCTCAGACTATAAATGAAGGGATTCAGCATAGGAGCGATAGAAGTTGTAAGCACTGTTACACCCTTATTTATGGCCACTGAATTCTTTGCTGAAGGTTTGACATAGATGAAAATACAGCTGCCGTAGGTGATGGAAACCACGATCATGTGGGAAGAGCAGGTAGAAAATGCCTTTTTCCTTTGCTGGGCAGAAGGAAAACGTAGAATGGTCTTGATAATATATATGTAGGACAGAACAACACATATAAGGGTCATGATAAAGGTCAACACCGCACAAAATATGACCAGTTGCTCTATGAGCCATGTTTCTGAGCATGATATCTTTAGGACAGGAGATGAATCACAGAAAAAATGGTCAATGACATAAGAATCACAGAATTCCAGATTTAGGCCCAGGCTAAGTGGTGGGAGTATTATCAACAAGCCAGCTGTCCAGCAAAAAATTATAAGTCTTTTGCAGACTTTGTTGTTCATTATAGTTACATATTGTAGAGGTTTGCATATGGCTACATATCGGTCATAAGACATGGTGGCCAGTAAGAAAAATTCTGTTACACCAAAGAGGTCTGTAAAAAATATTTGAATGGCGCAATTGTCATATGTAATTGTCTTATCACCTGTTGATAGATTGTACAGATATCTGGGAATACAAGCAGATGTAAATGAGATTTCCAAGAAGGAGAAATTTCTTAAGAAAAAGTACATGGCAGTTTTAAGGTGAGAACTGATGAAAGTGAGAGAGATTATTGCTAGGTTTCCTGTTATACTCAACATGTAGGTGAGAAACAGAAAGATAAAAATCACAACCTTCAACTGCGGGTCATCAGTGAGTCCTAGCAGGATAAATGTTATTGTCCGGTTTCTCATAATTGCCTTCTGACTTCTGTACAATCTGCTTTTAAAAGTAAAGATATTTTATATGAGTAGATTTGTAGTTTATGGTGAAAATAGCATGTAAACTAACTCACATATGTTGAATATTGATTACAAATATTTTCAATACACTTACTGTATAGGTTTTATAATTGCGCATTTTCGTTTTTTAGGAGAGATTTTGAAAAAATTAAATAGCTTTACCTACACTTGTTGTTTGTTGTTGTTAGGTATCATCAAGTTGAATATGACTCATAGTGACCCAATGAACAAAAGCTCTGACTTTTGTTTGATCCTTCTCCATCCTCACACTTCCTGACACACAAGAGCCCATTGTGGCAATATGGATTGTGTCTCAATGTCAATAAAAACAAAGATTCTTACCACTCGACCAATAGACAAAATCATGATGGATGGAGAAGAGATTGAAACTTTCAACTGTCAATAACCTTGTTTTGCTTAGATCCACAATTAACACTCTTTGTACCAGCAGTTAGGAAAACAGGAGAGGCATTCCACTGGGAAAATCTGCAGTTAGGGGACCTCTCTGAATTATTGAAGAGCAATCATGCCAATTTGAGGACTAAGGTGCACCTGATTAAGTCCATAGTATTTCCAGTCCTTTACTATGCATCTGAGATCTGAAAAATTAATAAGGATGACAGAAGAATAATCCATGTCTTTGAGCTATGGTGTTGGAGAAGAGCATAGAACATCTCACAGATGGGCAAAAGAACAAACAAACATGCTTGGAGAGGGTATAGCCAGAGGGCTCTTTAGAAACAAGAATGTTGAGGTTTCCCCTAACATACTTTGGGCATATTGCTAGGAGGGGCTATTCCTTTGAGAAGGACATGATTCTGGAAAGGCTCAAAGGTTAGCGAAGGAGAGAAAGACCCTAGACCAGGTAGATTGACATGGTGACTGCCGCAATGGGTTTTCGTGTGTCTGGAAGTGTTATATATGCTACAGTCAATTATATTACTTTTTCTTCCTTTTCATATTTTCTTTCCAAATGCCTACACTCTTTACTGATTTTCCCCAGAAAATAATAAATAGCTGCTAATATTTTACAGTATGAAGTGCTATTTCCTATTCATACTGAATTACAAAACTGATGCTTAAATTTTTTGATGGCCTTTCTGTGCTTTCTTAAAGTTTTGTTTTTTTCAAAAAGTATAAATATATCACAAAGAATGTGGTGCTCATTAGAGGTTCCAAATCCCTTGCACAAGATATTAAAATCTAGTTGTGTTGTTATTGTTGCTGTTGTTATGTGCCACCGAGTTGCTAGTGACTGATAGCAGCCCTATGTACAATAGACTTGAAATCTGCTCTATCCTGTGCCAATTCACTGTCTCTGATACACCTGCTCTCATTATCCCAGTCACTGCATCAATCCATCTCATCAATAGTATCCCTCTCTTTCTCCATCCTTCCACCCTTTCAAGCACCCTTTTCCAAGGGCCGGTCCTTTTTTGCAACATGCCCAAAGTATGTCAGACAAAACCTCAGAATTCTTACCTCCAAAGAGCAGCCTGGCTTTACCCTCTCTAGGATGAACCTGTTTGCTCTTCTGGCAGTCCATGGTATATTCAACACTCTTCTCCAGCACCAGAGCTCAAAGGCATCAATTATCTTTCCATAATTCCTAATCATTGTCAAGCTCTTGGACACATAGCAAACAATTGTGAAGACTATGGCCTGGATCAGGTGCACCTTAGTCTCCAGACTGACTTCCTTGCTTCTCAGTACTCTGGAGAGGCCCCTGACAACTGACTTTACCAATGAAATTTGTCTCTTGATTTCCAGGCTACTGGTACCAAGAGTGTTGATTGTGGAAGTCTCCAGACTAACTTCCTTGCTTCTCAGTACTCTGGAGAGGCCCCTGACAACTGACTTTACCAATGAAATTTGTCTCTTGATTTCCAGGCTACTGGTGCCAAGAGTGTTGATTGTGGAGCCAAGAAAACTGAAGCTGCTAACAATCTCTTCACCATCAGTAATAGTGCTGCCATTTGGCTCAGTGGTGGGAATCTTTGTTTTCTTGCTATTGAGATTCAATGCATATTGAAGGCTGCAGTTCTTGATTTTCTGCAGCAAGTGCTTCAGGTCATCCTCAGTTTCATTAAACAGGGTTGTGTCATTTGCATAACATGGGTTGTTTATGAATCTTCCTCCAATCCTCTTTCCACATTCTCTCTTATACAGTCTAGCCTCCCAGGTGATGTGTTCTGCATATAGATGAAAAGGTATGGAGACAGAATACATCCCTAAAATACACTCTTCCCAATTTTGAACCAAGCAGTGTCTCCTTGCTCTATTCTGACTACTGCCTCCTGGTCCAAGTAATGGTTTTGCAAAAGCACAATCAAATGTTCTATGATTCCCATTCTTCTTAGAGTCAGCCACAGTTTATTGTGGTCCACACAGTCTAATGCCTTTGTATAGTCAATGAAACACAGATAGACATTCCTCTGGTACTCTCAGCTTTCTGCCAACATCCATCTAACATTAGCTGTAATAGCCCCAATTTCACAGCCTCTTCTAAACCCAACCTGTATATTTGACAGTTCTCTGTTGATGTACTTCTTCAGTCATTTTTTTATAATTTTCAACAGAATCTTGCTTGCATGTGATATTAATGATATTGTTCGATAATTTCCACACTCTGTCAGATTACCTTTCTTTGGTATGGGAACAAATATAGATCTTTTCCAGTCAGCTGACCAGCTGGCTGTCCTCCAGATTTCTTGGCACAACTTATTGAGCACATCTAGGGCAGCATCTGTTTGTTGAAATATGTCAATTGGTATGCTGCCAAATCCTGGAGCTATATTTTTTGCCAATTCTTTTAGAGCAGTTTGAACTTCTTCTTTCGTCACCACTGGCTCTTGCTCATAAGTTGTTTCTCATATTAATATAATTTTTAAAACCAAAGTTTCTTTAAATGGCTACCATAGTCTATTCAGTTAAGATTGAAAAGCACTTCAACATTATATTATTACTACTACTAAATTGAAAAAATATTCAAAATTCTACAGAGTCTCAAGTCCTACTTGAGACTCAATTTCATATTTTATTAAATTTTGGGAAATTATATATTTACTAGATAAGTCATTCATAAAAAAATCTGACTGATAATTGTTTTATTCATCATACAGTCAGTCTTTTGTATACTGTGATTGCTTTTATCTTCCCCCATAACATTATAATAAAGTAGCTGTTATCAAAGTTTATTAAGACTTCTTTTTTTGTTATATAAGTTTAGGATATTTCTAAATTAAATCTAATACATACTAAAGTTTTGTTTTGCATCATCGAGGTGGGACTGACTCATAATAGTGACCCTGCAACAGTTTTCATTAAATCACAAGGGATGAGATAGCTCATGGTTCTCTTGTGGAGTTGCTGGTGAATTTGAACCTGTTTATTGGCAGCACAACTCCTTACCACTAAGCACCAGGTTAGTAAATACTAGTAAAATGAAAAGGAAATGAAATCTAATAAAAACTATCCACACTATTCACAATATTCTTTCACAATTTACCTTAGCAAAGCAGATACTTTTTTGTCACCTTATTTCCTTTGGATGAGCTATCAGCAGAGACCAGTACCTGGAGAAGGATATCATGCTTGGCAATGAAAAATAAAGATTCTTAATAAGATGGGTTAACACAGTGGCTGCAAAAAATGGAATCAAATAAGCAACAACTATGAGCAAGACTCAGGACCTTGTGGTGTTTTATTCTCTTGTATATAAAAAGTTCCTATGAACTAGAACTGACTTGACAGCACCTAACAACAAAAAAATAAATTTCTAGATATTTTTTTCTATATCCTTAGTTAAATTCACAATTCCCAAGTTTCTTCTTTAGTGATGCTTCATTCCTAATATATGTCTGAGAATTTTCACAAACTGAATTCCAAAAGATATTGCTTTTTCAGAATCTCAGTCATAAAACCGAATGCTAAAAAAGTTCAAATTCTATTCTCAAACATATGATGTTTGAAACTGAACTCTTGATTTTCTGTAATCATCCAATCTTATATTCTCACTCATCTGTCCATTTGTTCTACTGTGGTGGCTTGTGTTGCTTTCATACTGAAAGCTATACCATTACTACTTCATACACCAACCAAATTACCCATGATGGAAAATCTGAATGGAGTTTCCTAAGCAGAACAGACAGAAACCAGGATTGTAAAATAACTTTTGAAATACTTGTTGAATGGAAACCTTATGATTAGCAGTCATAGAACACTGCCTCATATAATGCTGTAAGAAGAGTCTATAATGTCAAAAGGCACTCAAAATACAACTGTAAAGAGCTACTTTCTCAAAGTAGAGTCAACTTTAATGACTTGGATGGAGCAAAGCTTTAAGTATGTTCATTTCGTAGTAAGGAAGACTTGAAGCACTAACTGAAAAAAGATCTAAACAATTAGTCGTCACCCACATTATACTTTAAGATAAAGGAAATAAACTCATCATAACTGGACTGTTAGGAAACATCATGAAAAATGGAGAAAAGATTGCAGTTGTTAGGAACACCATTTTACTTCTACCCACAATCAATGTTCATTTACTTGGCTAACGAAATAAAGCAGTATAGAAGAGGAAGACAATGAGCTTGGTCATTATAGAAGTTGCAACAGTGTCATGAAGTGCAGAAGTGATTGGGAGGATGGAGCAGCGTCAGGCCGTGTTTCATTCTCTTGTACACAAAGTCATTCTTGACACCAACTTGATGCCACCTAACTAGAACAAGTAATAGGTAAAAGGTAAATGGAATTACATAATTACAGTTGGTATGACTTGCTCTAAAGATAGCATTCTTTGGAGATTTTCTTTTCTCCTTTCAGTTCTCAGCATTTTGGGGTTCTGCCCAAGATTTTACAAAAGGGAAAATGTCTTTATTTCCTTCTTTGGTCCGAAATTATTCTTTCTGGAATTTGTAAAATTGTTGATGGATTAACTCAATGAATATTCC